GCAGCTGAGGGATGACAGTAGCCAAAGCCAGTTTCATGTTATAATAAAGTAAATATTTTGAGAACAGAAAGCTCTCAGTCATGTAATAAAAAATGTTGCCAGATTACTCAGGTCAAATTTATGAGACTTATAAACTTGGAATATTTCTTCACTGTGAAGGTATTTAAGAAATGTAATAAGCAAAGGGAGCCTAAAGGTTATTCCAAATGGCATTCCAGAATGAAGCTAAAATACCTACACACCTCAGTGGAGTTCATTCCTCTGTATCCCACCTCTCATGACAGGTTTCCTCATGTTTGAAATACTTAATGCTTAATTCAAAACCAGAACTGAATGTTAGTGACACCAATACTACACTGTCATGTGAAAATACCTTTTATCCATGCTTGTTAACTGTGTATCAGTCTGTTGAAAACAATTAGAAATCATTTTAACAAAGTCACTTATTGAAACTGTAATTATAAAGTTTAGCTTGATAAAATCTGTGATTGTTGAGAGACAAGCCATAACATTGTTCACATACTATTACAAGTTAATTCTGAGCTCCGACTTTTCAAGAACCCTTTCCCTAGTTTTCACTTTCTGCTTTATGTGGAACCAAAGGAAACAGAATGGAGGCACAGCTGACAATGCCAAGATTCATCAACCACACAAATCCAAATGCAAGTATCCAAAATTATTCAATCATCTACCACTGATTTCAGAGAAGTAATAGAAAAAGTTAGTCTGTATCTTAGATCTTCCCTTCTGTCTTCTGTACCAAGAAAGACAAGGGGAGAGGAAATAAAAATACAGGCTTTAGTGGGTAAGATCCTAGAACTTTGATAATATTGATGAGGATAGAGAGCAACAGGAACTGTCGGTCACTCTTTATGTGAGAAGCTGTACTTGCAGCTTAGCACTTTCTTTAAAAGTTAAATATATTCCTTATTAATTAAAGATACTCCTACTTCATGTACCAATAGGTCTCCCTGGTACTTACATCAACAATGAATCCTGCACATAAATGTGTATGCTGTCTTGTTCATAATTCCAAAGATTCACAATCAACAAAGATAACCTTCAGTAGGCGAAGAGAAGCGTACTCTATAGCATATCTATAGACTGGAATAATACCTACTGATTAAAAGCTGAGGTATCAAGCCATGAAGACATAGAGTTAAGTTACAGCATTATAAGTAAGTAAATGTTTCAGAGCAAATCTATGAAAGATTATATTCTGTATGAAATATATGCCCTTCTGTAAAAATAGCATGAAGACAACAAAGAGATGAGAGATTGTAGAAGTGCAACCCTACAGACACCCACTTTTCAGAAGTTTCTCTCTGCTTCCACCTGCTGGGTCTCACATAGTTTATCTGCAGTCTCTTCATAGCTGGGAATGCACACACCCTATCTTCCTGAGCATTCACTAGTCCCAGTTATAGGAGCGTTCCTATAATCTGGAGTACCTGAATGCACACCTGACAGAAACAATGACCAAAGCAAAAACCATATGCAAGCAATTTTAATCACAGAAATTTCGAGCATTTCTGTCTTCCTTAGATCCACTGGTCTGCGCCTTTTGGGGCCTATATGAAAGTGATAAGCCCTCATCCGAACAGAGACGCTCTTTCAAAGCACAGAATAACTGAAGCTTCCACCCACCTGGAAATCACAGAGCATCCTTTTGGATAAAAGGTAAGATGGTGCTAAAAGCAAATTGCTTCCACCTTCCTACAGTTCTGCCTTGGGCCTAATAAAGCCCTTCCTGTCATCTGCCTCTCTCCTTATTGATTCCAGCACCAGGAAGCAGAAGCATCTTCTTAGTTACAGTTTTAAAGATTTAGAGAAGGAGATGACTAGTGGAACACAGAGGGCTTTAGGGTGGTATGATTCCTCTGTGTGACACTATAATTGTGGATAATTGTCACTGTGCATTTGTGCTTATATATAGAATGTATAGCACTGTGAATCTTTTACAGTAAACTCTAAAATTTTTAATATAAGTGCTTCCTTTGCCAACAGTATATCAATATCAATGTAGGTTCATCCATTGTAACAAATTCATCACTTTGGTGAAGAATTTAGTAACATGAGAGGCCTTACATGTGTGGGCAATGGATGCCCATGAGACATCAATACCTTCTGCCCTATATTGTTGAAAGTGATTTACTCAAAACTTAAAATTACTCTCAAAAATTGGCTTATTACAAAAGGGTAGACTTATTTGGTATAAAGAATGGTACCAAGGGCTGAGAAGGTAGAAGGCATTAAGGAATTCAAAAGGATCAAAATATGCTGCACACATGTACCACTTCCCCAAAATGAACTATGATGTACATCAAATATGCATTAATGAAAACACTGCTAAACTAATAACAAAATGCAAATAGGGTATATCTGGTTTTATGTAAGAAGGGGTGGTGTTAGGAGAATTGCAAGGGGAGATGAACTTGACTTTCTAGCCACTGCAGGTTTCGTACACTTCATCCTGGGTTCCACACTTCCTTGTTGCTCTGGCAGCACCAACTGCCCGAGACTATACAGAACCTTCTTGCCATGAGGACAACGTATGGATTTTTGCTACTTCTAGGGTGGCTAAGGGCTAACCTTTCACAGCACTGGAGGCCTCAGTTCTATTAAACACAAAACAGTTCTAGGAACTCTGCATCCTCTGCCATGTCAAGGACATTATTCACGCACATTGTTTCAGTGAGTATTTTCCAAATAATGTTAGAAATTACTGTAAGCACTAAGAATATAATTGATCAAAAGAATGAAATCTCATTTCAAGAAGCTACATCGAGGCCAGGTTCAAGGAGAAAAAAATTTAAAAGTAAGAGTCAAATAACATGATAGTCTGCAGTGATATACAATGTAAACCTTCTGAGCAGGGCGATAGTAGTCAACCATACTCATCCTGACAGTGAAGTAATTTGGGCATCTCAGCTGAGATCCTAACAATCAGACAGGCGAAGTTTTAAGAGAAAAGAGACAAAGATGAAGTAAAATAGTAGCACACCTTTAGGATAGATGGAAAGATGTTTGGTGATGTTGGCTTCATGTGCCAAGCTATTTGTATTTCTTTCAAAGGACAATGGGAAACTCTTGGATGTTTTTAATTAAGGAGTGTCACAGTGTTTTTTAAGGTGATAACTGACCACTGTGTAGAACTAGGTTAGAAAGAGACAGAGAAAAGGAGAACAAAGCAGAAGAAAAAAGAAGAGGTTGTTACCCAAACATAGAGGGAGAATTATGATGTAAGTCAGGCTGTCCATGGAGGGAAACGGCAGGGCTTGAGAGGTATTTTGAAGACAGAGTCACTAAGACCTCTTTCCTAGAGTCAGTGGTGGTGGCAGATAGCAAGTGAAGGGAAGGCCACAGTCCAGGCTGACACTAAGATTAGTTGCAGTCTTTGCATCTTTGGGGTTGAAGCCTTGGCCTATTATTCACATCTCTGTCATCCAAACCAAACATATTTTGGGAAATGATTTTTCCTGGGTCTCCCATAATCTATGCTTCTATGACCACTGATTTCATTTGTCATGGACTATCTTTTCAAAGGTGCTTGTACACAAAATAGCCTTGGAAGAGAAGCCCCATGTTTGCTTCCCTCAGGAATAAGGCATGTTACCAAACTACGAATAAAGCTATCTCCCCTGGGGACCAAGTCTGGTGGGCTTAATTCCTATTTCTGAGTAACTTGGGTTCTCTAAGCTCGGAGATCTTCTCTAATGCATCCTGCCAAGAATGCCATCTGCAAACTGGGTATCAGGAAGCCCCACATATGCGATATTCTCTGGGCTTCCGTTGGTTCACTTAGTAAACTTTTCTTTGTCTTTGACTCCAGAGTTTCCTGCCTTCTGTGTGATCCTCTGTGAAATACTATCAGGCTTAATTGTTAACCTGAAAACATATTTTCAAAGCCTTCATAGCTCCCAATAGTTCTCCTCCAGTCCCTGGGATGCAGAAAACACTCCTCCTTCACTCCTATGGCAGATTCTTGAAGTTTTCTAATGAATTTTTTCCCCTGCTCCTACAAACTTTATGAAAGTTTCAGTTCCAAGGAATAGCAGAGCAGCATTTTGCTTATCAGACGGGAGTGGGGCACATTTTCCAACCTTGTCCCTACTTTCAGCTGAAGCTGACCTTAAAAACTATCTCCCCTTTGCTTATTAGGGAAGGGACTCCTATTGCTTCCTCTGCTTGCTAAGCACTGTGTTTCTCAGTTATTCCCTGTGTTGGCATTTTTTAAAGGGACTCTGTGCATAGACAGAGGATAGCCTTGCAATCTTTGGCTTCAGACTTAGAGTCGTTGGCTTTGAATGTGTGCTTTTGCCATCACTGCCATGTGACTTGTGAAACAAATTTCATCTATTTGAATTGTTACCTGAAGTTCTCTGGAAAAGTCCTAGCTATTTAAAAGTTCCTGCATGTTGTTTGACTTTGGCTAAGCAGTGTGTTGTGACTGTGGAGAGATGGAAAGTTCAGAGAACCAGAATTATCTTGGCTCTTCAATGACCATTCATTTTAGGCTCTGTATCTGACCTAACACTCTCATGACTATTAGGAGAAGTTCTCAAAATATACCCTTAACCTTAGCCTTCCATGGAAATGCCAAGGCAAGATGATAACAAGGTCAAGTGCAGCCTGGATGACTCAGTTAGAACTTGTTCCTAAATAAGTAAATAAGTTCTAAGGATCTAGCTCAAATAAAGACTATGAGTTCTAGAAAATCACATCTAAAACTTACAAAAGAGATTTCCCAACTTTGCCAGAGCCCACCTATGTAATTTGCCCACCAGTGAATTTACAAAACGAATGATTGCTTTCCCCCTTCTATGGCCATGGACATTTATGTAATCCTTTCAAACTCAGGACTTGTCAGTGAAGGTAATCTGAATCAATACTTCTGGGCCATATCCACATTTGGCTCAGAATAAACTATATCCTTATTTACTTTAAGACGAAGTTTTTATTTTATGTTGATATTTGTCCAAGAAAAATCACAACTGATGTTACATAGGCCAGGAATTCTTTATTCAAGATTATTGCAATAATGACCAGTATTTCTGAGGTGAGAATGAAAGATGTGAAGTCACTTATTTAAAAAATAAGGAAGTTTCCCGGAGCCACAGGAAGCTAGTGCTGCAGCAGGGAAGGGCTTTGGGGAAGGAGGTGCTCAGTATGATTGAGTTATCTGTGTGTGCAAGAGGGCACACTTTAAAATTAGACCAGAAGACGGGGGCTTTGTCCTTCTCGATAATTATATTTTAAAAGCATGGCTGCAATTTCCTTGAAAAAAAAAACATATTCTAGTTTGTAAAACCTGAAAGACTAACATCTCAGAGAAACAGACACACAATTTACAATCAAATGTTTCTGAAGTAAATGTTCTGATGAAGAGAAGACAAGGTCTATTGTCAGAAAGAAACCTGTGTGAAGATCTTGGTCCAGCTGAGAAGCATTAAAGGTCAAAGATTTGTTCCTTGCCTGTAAATACTTCCTCAATATATTGTTGAGAAGATTAAATAAACATACAATTTGTTTTAAGCTGCATGTCTATAGACTATATATGATAAGGGTAGGTTTCATTCAATATTGAAACCTTGATTCAGAAGAGTAATTTAAATATTAGGCTAAAAATTCTTGGCCATAATAAATGGACTCTTTTTTCTTCTTTTTCATAATTGTAGAGAAAGGAATATTTCCTTTTTTCTATATATTTTGAAACAATGTCTGTCTCTCTATATGACAAGGGATCTTGAAACCCTAACAGGACAGGATAAAGTATCTGGATAAGTGGGAGTATTACTAGATGAATGAAGGGACACAAGAAGTAGAAAGCTAGTATTATTTGAAAGGGAGGTGAGTGGAGCTTGGATGAAGTAAGTTTATAAAAGGATGACAGAAGCCTGGGCTATATGACGATAATTAGTTTAACGGAGACCAATGTAAATTTGAGGCAGTTATCCAGTGCCATTGAGAGAGCATGCCACGAACTCCTCAGAGAAATCAGTAGGTGCTTAAGGGTACCTAAAATGAGTGCCTTTCTGCTTAGGCTATGTAAATATTCTTGGTCACAGATTCCTAACAGTAGCTATGGATGGGCATTTAGCCAACTAGGTATAAGGATAAGAATCTGGACCATGAAGACATATGAGGAATCTCAAGGATTCTCCCATTGACTTGGTTGACCCAACGGGATGGAATCACACTTCTACGTGACATAATTGTAGATCCTATGCTCTATAAAATATCTTTAACTATCCACATTCAGTGTGATTGGGGCTCTCACCCTAACAGACACAAAATGAGGAGCACATGTGTACGTAAAGGAAAAGTCCACCACGTTACCTCTCACAGCGGTGTCCAATCTTACTGAAACATCATTTACAGTCACATCCTCAGAATTCTGATCTTCTGGACTTTTAACATGGCCTCTGGATTTTAATCATCTTCACATCTGAATTTAAGAGAGAAATCAATAATGACATTCTGTCTACAGTACATTGCTGTGATGATTTTCTACCAGATTTCTACTTATGAGACTTAAAGAGACTCAGACTTCTTCAAGTTCATGCATGTCAGGAATATTAAGAAAGCCACTATGAGAGGGAAAGCAGAGAGAGAAGCCAGGCAAAAGTTTTACAGACATATATTCTGGGAAATTTTAACAAAGTTCAGTTTTAGAGTTCTTTAACCTTGCTGAATTACGAATGACTCATTTTTGTGCCTGTTCAAATTACAAAAAGTAGGTCATACATTTTGATAAGCCTCTTGGGAAAACTTGATAAATTTTCATTTAATGGTCACATTAAGTGCAGTCTTATTCATTGCTGTATTTCACTTAATAAGCTGAAGTAAGTACATATCTTAATTTGCCCCAACCTACTTAGCTTGAATACTATCTCGTCATAGATTATAAAACCCATAATGGGTAGAAATTTAAGGTGGCTTCCATGACCTTCACTCTTTGATGTTACTCCTATAATTATTATTATGTTACCTCATTTGACAGAAGAGGAAATTATCTCAGTGAGCCCAGTCTAATTACATAAAACTTTTAAAAGCATAAATTTATTAGGCTGCAGGAAAAGGAAAACTCCATAGAGATTAAGTACATAAGGCATAGTCTAGACATGGTTTCTAGTCTTTGAGTCAGTTAGTGGCCCCTGAAAGCTGAGAGTGACCCCTGACCTGACAACTTGCAAATGACCTTTGACTTGACAACTATCCAAGAAAATAAAGACATGAATTCTATAACTGCAGTAAAACAAATTTTGACAATTATCTGCATGAACTTGAAAACAGCTTTGCTAGAGCCTCCACCTAGGAGTTCAGTCCAGCTAATAATGTCATGGTCATGGCCTTGTTCACATCATAATCAAGAATGTATCTGGGAGAGCCCGGACACTTGACCTACAGAACTTTGAGATAATAAATGCATTCCTTTTAAAGATGTTAAGGTAGAAAAACTAATGCATCCCAGAAGCCTAAACCATGAAACAGTAATCCCCGCAGAGGATGCATTCCAAGGTCTCTATCATATGCCAGCTGGCTCCAAACTCTCTGCTCTCTGCTCCTCTCTCCTATGTTTTATCATCTATACACATACCCATGTTAACCTTTGTCTGCTACTTGACTTAAAAGAAGTACTTTATGATTTCTCTCTGATGCATCAGTGTTGCCAGACATATTCCTCTCACTGCAGCATTACAGAAGACACACTGGTTTATCACTGGCTAAAATAAGCGCTACTTGAACACAGCAGTGTGATACCACACAATTGATCTGATAACCCGAGGTGACTACTGAGTAAGTCGTAAACAGTAAGTACGAAGAGCTGGGAGACACTGGACATGGAAGATTTATCAGCTGGGCATGATGGAGCAAGACAATGTAGTATTTTGTTACACTATTCAGTGCTCACTTGTAGAATTTTTCATTTAGTATTATTGGGCAGTAGTTAGAGTAAGAAACCTGAAAAAGTCAAGCCATGAATAGAGGGTAAAAATTGTTGTTTTCTTCTAAAAATATAGAGACTATTCAAAAAATCATCTTGTGATAGTTCAAAGAAAATAAACTTCCAGCTAACATTTTGCTCACATTTTTATGCTGTTTTTATACAGCTCATCTCATATATTTTTGTTGTAATATCAACATTTTTCTTCTTTCATAAAACAAATTATCACATGATAGTATTTTTTAAAATGTGAGAAATATTAAGACAATTTTTATGTGATGAAATATTAAGCTGTATCACTTTTTGCTCCCAAAGTATTAACCTAACCTTTGTCCTTGGTATTATTTGGACCTAATAGTGTTCCAGAGAACACTATTAAAAGTCAGCATTTTTTGATTTCCTTAAAAACAAAACCAGTGACATCTCCAATTCCACACCTCAGATATGAGAGAGTGTTGCATAAAGTCAAGTTCGTGGCTCCCTGAGTAGCTCTGCTGGAATTATAGTCCTGGTTCTACCTATGTAAACTTAGCAAGCTCTTAAATATGACATTGTGTTTCTTTATCTAGGAAACTGTGGGAAATAATACCTATTTCACAGAATGTACTACAAAGCAATACTATTGCAAATACTCCCATGAAATACAGTGAAACTCAGCACATTCTACAATCTTTATTTTCACAAGAGAGCCACTCAAGGTAAATGGAAATTACTATGCAAATTAGCTAGTTATGGACAACTTGTACCAGTCTCAAAACCACTCTTTCTTTTGTCTTCTCTATTTCTTGGATAAGCTCTGCCTTCTTCCAAGTTATACAGACTCACAATCTCAGGATTGCCAATGGTTACAAAGTTAAATATTTTCTGATTGACCTCTGCTGGGCCCTCTAAGTTTCCATTCAGTCAGGTCCTCTCGTTCCCAACCTGGAGAATGGAGGCACAGTGTTGATCCCTCTTACCCTGCACGATGAAATGTTTATTCATATCATTGGTGTTAGAAGTATCGGTGGCCATGACTGCTTCATATTCAGGGTCTTCCTTTGGCTTGTCCTAACCCTAGACCAAGAGCTTGTATTTAGCTTTATGATGAAGAACCTCAGCTGTCACAGGGTACCCATTAACTAGGACAGAGGCATGAAGAATGGGCAGAAGTTTCAACCTGAGCTCAGGCACTCTGTCCAATATCGCTGTGAGTGTCTGCTCAGTCTTGTTTTCTCACCCGTACTTCTGTCTTCTTTTGCCAACTGTCTGCTGCACAGATGTTTTCTCCAGCTCCAGATATGCAGCAGCTGCTTAGTCAGCCCCACCATTATCATTTGCTCTGCAGAGAGTAGAACTGACCTCTTAGGCATGAGATTGAATAAACAGAAACAACAAAGGAGACTTAATTAAAAAAAAAGTTTGAACAAGCATCTGGGAAAGGAATAGCCTATGAAGAAGACTTAGAAAAAGATGGAGAAAGAAAAGAAAGAAAAAGAAGGACTCCAGCTTTGGGTAGAGAGAGATAAAAGTTGGGTATGTTAGCGAGGTGGTGCCTTCAATGCTATTATCTCAGAGGTTGGAAGAATGTCTGCTTTAAATAAAGTGAAAAATGTGAACACATGGGTTTAAAACCAATGGCAACAGGATTAGGATTGCCACACACACACACACACACACATACACACACACACACACACACACACACACACACACACACACACACACACACTGCACAATTTCAGAAAAAAGAGCCCAGGAAGGACATGTCTAATAAGGGATGTCTTGGGGGTGAAACTGACCTACCCACCAATAAGAAAGACTGAAAATGGGGTTGAATTTCAGCCAATCAATTGGCTCTGCTGACTTCCCAGCAGGTGTGTCTTCCCTTCATGGAAAACTCTGCTAACTTTTTTTTCCCCTACTTGGAAAACTTCATCGCAAAGGTGATCTCCAAAGGAAGAAATCATGAAGAATAAGCTGATAATTAAGTATCTAAGAGGTCAGCTAAGGCTCTTCATTGTGAGAGAGAAAGGCCAGGTTGGAAATGAACCATGACTGTATAGAGAAAAAAGATGAAATGTTCAAGATGATGAAGTTGCTGCCTGGAAGTGACACAAACCACTTTTATTCGAATAGCATTAGTTCACATGTTGTTCACAATCCACAGAATAAGTTCACATGTTGCTCTCAATCCACCAAATCATAGTGAAAAATCTTCCCACAGAGAGGCTGGACATGCAAGTAGGAAATCAGACCTTGTGGTAAACAATGTTTAATTTTCTCTTACTAAACTTAAATGAAAATTAACTTAACCTCATGCAAATTTAAATTAACTTGAGTACCAGTTATTTTCAAAACTGAGAAGATAAAATAGGATATTAATGTCACTGTAGCTGGTGTCATGAACTGTCCTAGCAGATATTTAGACTGTAAGATTACTAAGGCAAAAGTCTAAACTGAAACTCAGCAGTTGGTGGAAAGATGACCAATTAAATTCATCAAAATTGGAAAGTAGTAAACAATCCATCTTAAGTCACTTGGATTATGAGCCCAACACAACATCTGCCTGAGTTTATTATCTTTTGGGTCACAAAAGGAAAACAATCAGTATAAACCTGACTGATGGACTTCCTGTTTGTAACCCTTCATCTACCTTGAAATATTCTGGTAATTAATTGGATATTTAACTTTAATAAAATGGACAGGAAACAGGTTACCAAAGAACACGAAAAAATGGCGTGAAAGTCTATAGATCTTACACTCTCAACTTGTTATGTGACTTCAAGTAAATGATCACAAACAATTCTGCTGTCAGTGTAATGGCAAAACAGTACTGCCACATTCATGGGGAAATTATGGTACAGACATACATCATTTTAGGACAGCTCTTTAAGCTGGGTACTTATTATTCCACCATGAGATCAAAACCTCTAAATCATCTTACCACACTCCTATTAGGATGATGGAAAACACCTATTAGCTATTTATGACCCTGGAGGTGGAAAAGAAAGAAGCCAGCACTGGGTACTTAACATGACAAGAGTCATCCTTCTGCTCTGTCCTGCCAATCCCTGCACGCTCAGGTGATCTGAGTCCCCTGGACATCGAACACTGAGTCCTCTGAGTACATTTCCCTGAGAGGCTCTCACAGGCAATCAGGACAGCACCAGTGAGATGTTTCTTTTACATATTTACATGCATACAGGACACATATCACCGTTCCTTCTTTGGAGACACAGTGCACAGGATATAAGATCCATCCTTTCAGACTGTGAAATCTAGTAGGATTTTTTGTTGTGCTTCTCATTTAGAAAATTAACAGAGTTATGTGACCACCACCATTATTACTAAAACATGTTTGTTACCACAATAGAGTGTAGTACTTCAGAAACTATTGGACATTCAAGAATACAGAATCAAAAGTGGGAACCTAAGAAGATCCAGTGACTAATCTGTAATGTACATCAGAAAATGACTATAAATCTGCCACTATGGTACTCTAGGTAATTAGAGACTCTAACTCTCAGATCAGCCATAGAGATTTTAAGTAATGGAAATGACATTCACAATCCCTTGGTTCCATACTTAAAGGTTATGGTGACAACTCCCTCTGGTTCCCATTTGTTCTCTGTTGAATTCTGTCTCTGCCTGCAAAATACCAACACATTCACCCAAAAAATCAAATTCCAGGC